TTTTACATTAAGTTTGAAATTAAATTTGGCATTAAATTTTGCATTAAATTAGATATTAAATTTAGCATTAAATTTGGCATTAAATTAGATATTAAATTTGACATTAAATTTGCCATTAAATGTGACATTAAATTTAGCAATAAATGTAACATTAAATTTGATATTAAAGTTGGCATTAAATTTGGCATTAAATGTTTCATTAAATTTGACATTAAATTTGGCCTAAAATTTGACATTAAATTTACCATTAAATTTGACATTACATTTAGCATTAAATTTTACATTAAATTTTACTTTAAATTTTACATTAAATTTGGCATTGAATTTTACATTAAATTTGGCATTGAATTTTACATTAAATTTGCCATTAAATGTGACATTAAATTTAACATTAAATTTGACATTAAATTTGACATTACATTTAGCATTAAATTTTACTTTAAATTTTACATTAAATTTGCCATTAAATGTGACATTAAATTTAGCATTAAATTTAGCAATAAATGTGACATTAAATTTAGCAATAAATATGGCATTAAATGTGACATTAAATGTGACATTAAATTTGGCATTAAATTTGACATTAAATTTTGCTTTATATTTTACTTTAAATTTGACATTAAATTTACCATTAAAATTGGCATTAAATGTGGCATTAAATTTGACAATAAATTTGACATTAAATTTAGCATTAAATTAGATATTAAATTTGACTTTAAATTTGGCATTAAATTTAACATTAGATTTAGCATTGAATTTACCATTAAATTTGACATTAAATGTGACATTAAATTTGACATTAAATTTGATATTAAATTTTTTATTAAATGTGACATTAAATTTGGCATTAAATTTTACTTTATATTTTACTTTAAATTTGACATTAAATTTAGCATTAAATTTGACATTAAATTTCACATCAAATTTTGCATTAAATTTGACAAGAAATGTGACATTAAATTTGACATTAAATTTAGCATCAAATTTGGCATTAAATGTGACATTAAATGTGACATTAAATTTGACATTAAATTCACCATTAAATTTGGCATTAAATTTACCATTAAATTTGACATTAAATTTGACATTAAATTTGGCATTAAACAGTTGGGTTTGAGAGCTCTAAACACTTTTTACCAAAGTGAGCTGGTGGCTCAAGGGAGGAGCTCCTAAAATGGAATTTTTTTGCCCTCAGTTCCAGCTTTAATGCCATTTTGTTCTGTACTAAAGTGCTTTTGAGGGGGTTTTGGTCCTCATTTTGGTTTTTTCCCCCCAGAAAACCATCGAATCCGAAACAGTGAAAACCTCAGAAGTGATTAAAAAGAAACTTGAAGAAATAACGGGGACAGTTAAAGAGGTAAAAGGACCTTTCCCTGAGGAAATTCAACTTTTAAGTGGGAGATTTGGGTGTAATTTGAATTATCACCTTTTTTTTTTCCCCCCCTTCGGTGCCAAGTGGTTGATTTTCCAAATTAGGAACAAAATGAGCTTTTTTGGAGCCTTTTATTTGATGTTTAAAGCCCCTTAAATTCCAATTTCTACCTTGGATCACACCTCTGGCATCTCTTCCATCCAACCCTTTCCCAGCAAGGAATCACCCTGGATTTCAGAGGGGGCACTGGGGGCGTTTTCCAGAATATTCCTGCCTAAAATCACTCTGGAAAATCACAGCCACACGATATTTTGGGCCACAGAATTCCCACCCATTAAATAAAACCTCAAATTGGGGAAAGCTCTATAAAAAAAATCCCTTTGTGGCCCCAGGAGCTGCTCTGGATGTGACTCAGAAGAGACCAATTCCAGGTGGAAATTCCCAGATTTTTTAAGATATATCTGGTGAAAATTCCCACTTTTTTAAAGATATATCTGGTGAACTTTGGGAATTTTGGAGTAGCTGAGGTTGGAAGAGGGTTTGGAGCAACTCAGTGTAGGTGGAAGGTGTCCCTGCCCACAACCCAAACCATCCTGGGATTTGGGATTCTCCGGGTTGGGAGAACTGGGGGGGGTTCACCTGGAGAAGAGAAAGTTCCAGGGAAACCTCAGAGCCCCTTCCAGGGTCTGAAGGAGCTCCAGGAGAGCTGGAGAGGGATTTGGGATGAGGGCTGGAGGGACAGGACACAGGGAATGGCTTCAAAGTGAAAGAGGGGAAATTTAGATGGGATATTGGGAAGGAATTCCTGGCTGGGAGGGTGGGGAGGGGCTGGGATGGAATTCCCAGAGAAGCTGTGGCTGCTCCATCCCTGGAAGTGTCCAAGGAGAAGGGAAGGCTCCAGGGAGACCTTAAACCCCTTCCAGGGCCTGAAGGGGCTCCAGGAGAGCTGGAGAGGAATTTGGGACAAGGGCTGGAGGGACAGGACACAGGGAATGGCTTCCCACTGCCAGAGGGCAGGGAGAGATGGGATATTGGGAAGGAATTCCTGGCTGGGAGTTGGAATTCCTTCCTGAGGGTGGGGAGAGGCTGGGATGGAATTCCCAGAGAAGCTGTGGCTGCCCCATCCCTGGGAGTGTCCAAGGCCAGGCTGGAGAAGAGAGGATTCCAAGGAAACCTTGGAGCCCCTTTCAGAGCCTAAAGGGGCTCCAGGAGAGCTGGAGAGGGATTTGGGATGAGGAATGAAGGGACAGGACACAGGGAATGGCTTCAAAGTGAAAGAGGGGACATTTAGATGGGATATTGGGAAGGAATTCCTGGCTGGGAGGGTGGGGAGGGGCTGGGATGGAATTCCCAGAGAAGCTGTGGCTGCCCCATCCCTGGGAGTGTCCAAGGCCGGATTGGAAAAGAAAAGACTCCAGGGATTCCTTAAACCCCTTCCGGGGCCTGAAGGGGCTCCAGGAGAGCTGGCGACGGATCGGGATGAGGACAAGGAATGGCAGGAGCTGCTCTGACCTTCCCCTTCCCTGTTTTTTGGCAGAGTTTGGACGAGGTCAGTAAAAGCGACCTCGGCCGCCGGATCAAGGAGGGCGTGGAAGAAGCGGCAAAAACGGCCAAACAATCGGCTGAGTCCGTCACCAAGGGAGGGGAGAAGCTGGGCAGGACTGCAGCCTTCAAAGCCATCTCTCAGGTACACAATTCCCGGGAATCCAGGCCTCGGGAACAGCCTGGAAAATACCAATCACCCAGTATCCTGGGCCACAGGGTTCCTGTCCCTTAAACAAAACCTCAGACTGGGGAAAGCTCTATAAAAAAATCCCTTTATGGCCCCAGGAGCTGCTCCAAGAGCTGCTCTGGGTGTGACTCAGAAGAGAGCAGGTCTAGGTGGGAAATTCCCCCTTTTTTCCCCACATTCCCAGTGGGAATGTGGGAGCTGCGAGGGGGGAGTTTGTGCCGGGGCTTGAAATTAAACCCGCGGCTCCCGGGTGTGGTGGCAGGTCTGGCACTGCCCTGGCAGGTCTGGCATTCCCCTGGCAGGTCTGGGATTCCCTGGCAGGTCTGGCATTCCCCTGGCAGGTCTGGGATTGCCCTGGCAGGTCTGGGATTCCCTGGCAGGTCAGACATTCCCTCAGCAGGTCTGGCACTGCCCTGGCAGGTCTGGCACTGCCTTGGCAGGTCTGGCATTCCCTCAGCAGGTCTGGCACACCCCTGGCAGGTCTGGCATTCCCTGGCAGGTCAGACATTCCCTCAGCAGGTCTGACACTCCCTCAGCAGGTCTGGGATTCCCCTGGCAGGTCTGACATTCCCTGGCAGGTCTGGGATTCCCCTGGCAGGTCTGGCACTCCCTTGGCAGGTCTGGCACTCCTTGGCAGGTCTGGCATTCCCCTGGCAGGTCTGGCACTGCCCTGGCAGGTCTGGCATTCCCTGGCAGGTCTGGCACTCCTTGGCAGGTCTGGGATTCCCCTGGCAGGTCTGGCATTCCCTGGCAGGTCAGACATTCCCTCAGCAGGTCTGGCACTCCTTGGCAGGTCTGGCACTCCCTCAGACTGGCTCTGTCCCAAAGCTCGGATTTGGTGGAAAATGTATCAGGGTTTGTGTGTTTTGGTGTCACCCAAAAGCTGCCCCAGCCCTGGAAGTGTCCAAGGCCTGGTTGGAGAAGAAAAGGCTCCAGGGAGACCTTGGAGCCCCTTCCAGGGCCTGAAGGGGCTCCAGGAGAGCTGGAGAGGGACTTGGGATAAGGGATGGAGGGACAGGACACAGGGAATGGCTTCAAAGTGAAAGAGAGGAAATTTAAGTGAGATGTTGGGAAGGAATTCCTGGCTGGGAGGGTGGGAGGGGCTGGGATGGAATTCCCAGAGAAGCTGTGGCTGCTCCATCCCTGGAAGTGCCCAAGGCCAGGCTGGAGAAGGGAAGCTCCAGGGGCACTTTCTGGGAAGGGTGAGGGGGGGCCAATAAATGGAACCTGACAGGGATTCTTTTCCTTCCAGGGAGTAGAAACTGTTAAGAAGGAAATCGATGAAAGTGTTTTGGGGCAAACTGGGCCCTACAAACGTCCGGAGCGGCTCCGGAAACGAACGGAATATTCCGGAGAGAGGATCAAAGAGGAGAGGATATTTGAGGCTAATGAGTAGGTATTGGGCTCATCTGGGGTGGGTATTTCTGTGTCTAATTGAACAAAACCCTTCCAAACTGAACTACAGGGCAGGGATTAAAAGCCAGGGGCTGGATGAGGCTTTGGGGGGTGAACAGGGAGCTCCTGGAGCACATTCCCAGCGGGAGCTGATGATCCTGAGTCTTCCCAGAGTGAAAGTGGGCACTTGAAACTTATAAATTTAATGGTCAAAGATGAAATTTTGACTTGGGCACGTGTTTTATTGTCAGTTTTAACATCTTCACGTGGATTTAGGCTTGGAATTAGGACTGAGCCTGAGCTCCCCTGCTGCTTCAACCCTCTCAGTCAATTATTATTTATGTGGTGTGTTATTTCCCTGCTGTACCAATTATGGGGTGTCTGATTAATTAATGGGATTCTAATTTTCTTAGAATTATAATTCTAAGTAATTCTGATTATAATTAATTTATGGGGTTCTAATTTATCTGGTGTATAATTTATGGGCTTATCACTGATGTGTCTCCTCACTTCTGTTCTGCATCAGCCTCAGGGCTGCAGGGATGTTCCTCCTCTTTGTTCTCCCACTGTTGTAAGTTGATTTTCTCCCCTGTCTCCATGTTTTATCCCTGTTTCCTGCCCTTTCCAGGGAGGCCATGGGAATGGTGCTGCACAAAGACTCCAAGTGGTACCAGCAGTGGAAAGATTTCAAGGACAACAACGTGGTTTTCAACAGTGAGTGTTTGAGAGGCAAAGCAGGAGCTTCCTTCTTTTTCCCAGCCCTGATTCCTGCTGGTGTGGGTCTCATTCCATCTGTGCCAATCCCAAATTCCCAGCCTTCCTGTGGAAGGGGTTGGAGCTGGTGCTGGGAGTGGTGTGAATGCTCCATCTGTGTTCCAGCCCCTCCTGCTGGATCAGTCCCTGCAGGCACCAAAACCTGTTTTCCAAAAGAACTCTTGGAGCTCTTCTTTGTCCCCTTTTTTCCCTCATCAGCCTCGTGGTGGCTCTGGGAAGAGGCTGGAAGGGCACGTCCAGCAGCAGGGAAAGGGCAGGAGAGGGCACCAGGTCTGCTCCTCCTGGCCTGGAGCTGAGGAAAATCCTTATAAATCAACAGGGTGGGGAGAGGCTGGGATGGAATTCCCAGAGAAGCTGTGGCTGCCCCATCCCTGGAAGTGTGCAAGGCCAGGTTGGAGCACTCTGGGATAGTGGGAGGGTTTGGAATGAGATGATCTTTAAGGTCTTTCCAATCCAAACCACTCTGGGATTCCCTGATCCTAAAATCTGGTTTCTGTTGGCCCCTGCCCAGATCTCTGGAATATCTGGGACTTTGCCTCCTTCCCATTTTTATTGCAAAACCTTACAAATTGTGAATATCTTTGGGTAGTTTATTTAGGGATTTCATGTTTCTGAGAGGCAGAAAAAGCCCTAAAACCAGAACCCTTCAACAAATCAAACCCATCCCTGGCAGTGCTGGAGGGGGGAAAAGATTTGTTCAGGAACCAAATGATCGTGTGAAAGTACAACATAATTAACTTCACATCCTGTTTCTTCCCAGCTTTTAAAGCAGAGCTCCTTGGGAAGTGTCCAGGAGTGGGTTTTACATCCCACTTTTTGGGCTTTCCAAGGAGAGGTGCTCCTCAAACTCCCCCCCCTCCAGCCCTGAGCCATCTGCCCGAGCTTGGGGGGGGTTTTTTTTTAGGCTTCAGGCATTTTTCCAAGGCTGGTTTTGAGTCCAGGCTGAGCTGCAGCTGCCCCAGGCTCTGCCTTCAGGTACCACCTGGATGTCCCACACTGAGAACACTCCGTGTTCCTGCCGGGAGAATCCTCCAGGGAATAATTCCCATTTTTAACCAAAGAACTTCCCTGCAGGGCCCGTTCTCCCTTCTGTGGGTCTGATCCCTCTGATGGTGCCCAGAGCCCTGATTTGCTGCAGCAATGCCCTGTTTGCTTCAATATCTGGGTTTTTTTAGGTCCTCCCCTGCCTTTTCTGCCCTTGGGATTTTTCCTCTGCAGAGTTTTCCATTCTGGAGCCAGGACACACTTGGCTTCCTCCCTCAGCGAGGCTGAGAAGCACTTGGAGCTGCTTAAAAACTGCACCCTCACTGATGTGGGGCTGTTTTATTAAAAATTTGACCAAGTTTAAGGTCTATTCTATCATTTTCCTCCCTGGTGAAACTTTCTGGGGTGGGTTTCACATTTCCTGCCCCTTGTAGGGCACTGAATCGAGGGGTGAGACTGTTCCTTGTGTAAGTACTTAGAGCTGCTTAAAACCTTTACCCTCACTGATATGGGGCTGTTTTATTAAAAATTTGGCCAAGTTTAAGATCTATTCTATGATTTTCCACCCCTGGTGAAACTTTCTGGGGTGATTTTCACATCTCCTGCCCCTTGTAGGGCACTGAATCGAGGGGTGAGACTGTTCCTGGTGTTCTCAGACTGTTCCTGGTGTAATCAGATTATTCCTGGTGTAATCAGATTACTCCTGATTTAATCAGACTGTTCCTGGTGTCATCAGACTATTCTTGATTTAATCAGACTGTTCCTGATTTAATCAGACTGTTCCTGGTGTAGGGCAGTTTTCTGGTGTGTTTTCTGCCTGCAAATCTTCCAGAAGCTCCCAAAGTTTGTGGCAGCTGAAGCAGGAGAACCAATTCTTGGGAGCTGAGAACCAGTTTTTGGGAGTTGAGAACCAGTTCCTGGGAGTTGAGAACCAGTTTTTGGGAGTTGGGAACCAATTCTTGGGAGCTGAGAACCAGTTCCCGGGAGTTGAGAACCAGTTCTTGGGAATTGAGAACCAGTTCTTGGGAGTTGAGAACCAATTCTTGGGAGTTGAGAACCAGTTCTTGGGAGTTGAGAACCAGTTCTCGGGAGCTGAGAAGGAGGACGATGGGAAAGGTCCCTCGTGGTCGGTGCCTGTTGTGATCCAGGAGATTGAGGAGGGAACTGGGAGCTCTGATTCCCAACCTCTGGCAGGTTTCCTGGATCAGGAGGGGCTCTGAGCTCTCTCTGCTCTCCTGGCAGGGTTCTTTGAGATGAAGATGAAGTACGACGAGAGCGACAACGCCTTCATCCGAGCGTCCCGCGCCGTCACCGACAAAGTCACCGACTTGATAGGTAACAGCTCCTCCCCGAGCTCCCCCTGCTCCTCCTTGTGCTGTTTCCCACCTTTTGGGACAAATTCTGGGAGCTTTCCAGCATTTTCCACACGTTTTCCACGCGCTTTGCCTGGATCGTTCTCCGAGATCGCGCAGGGATCAGAAGGGCTCTGAGGTGACAAGTTAAGCCTGGGATAAATCTCTGGGATAAATCTCAGGCTTAACTTAAAGCCTGGAGTTGTTCCTCCCTCTGGTCTTGCCTTGTTACACCCCCTCCAGGGCTGGTTTTGTGCCACTGCCTTGTTTTCCCAGGTGGATTGTTCTCCAAGACGGAGATGTCGGAGGTGTTGACGGAGATCCTCAGAGTGGATCCCTCCTTTGACAAGGATCGTTTCCTGAAGCAGTGTGAGCGGGACATCATCCCCAACGTCCTGGAGGTGAGGGAGGGAGACATTCCCTGGATTTTTTTTTTTCCCTTTTTTTACTTTGTTTTTACTTTTTTTTTTACTTCGTCCTTTCATTTTTTTCCCGTCGCCCAAACGAAAAGGCGGGGCGGGATTTGCTCCTCGAACATCCTTGGGAAAGGAAGTTGGAGCCCAAGTAACCAGCAAGTTCCATCAGAAAAACAGAAAATTTACTCAGAAAACCAATAAATCCCATCAGAAAACCAGAAAATTCCCTCAGAAAACTAGAAAATTCCCTCAGAAAACCAGCAAATTCCATCAGAAAACCAGCAAATTCCCTCAGAAAACCAGAAAATTCCCTCAGAAAACCAGCAAATTCCCTCAGGAAACCAGAAAATTCCCTCAGGAAACCAGAAAATTCCATCAGAAAACCAGCAAATTCCATCAGAAAACCAGCAAATTCCCTCAGAAAACCAGCAAATTCCCTCAGGAAACCAGAAAATTCCCTCAGAAAACTAGAAAATTCCCTCAGAAAACCAGCAAATTCCATCAGAAAAACAGTAAATTTCCTCAGAAAAGCAGAAAATTCCCTCAGAAAACCAGCAAGTTCCCTCAGAAAACCAGAAAATTCTCTCAGAATATTTCATTATTTAAAAGACTAATAAATTCTTTTTCTGGCCTGGAAAACAGCAAATCATCCTCTGCCCTGAGAAATGATGTGGGATCAGAGGGATCAGAGGGATCAAAGGGAAGGGGGTGATAAAAAATGGATAAGGGAAGGAATTTGGGGCGTGCCAAAAGGATCTGGGACTCAGGGAGAAGAGCAGGGTCAGTGGAATAAAAACTAATCTGAGGAATAAAAACTGATCTGAGGAATAAAAACTGACCTGAGGAATAAAAACTAAGGAATAAAAACTGATCTGGGGAATAAAAACTGATCTGAGGAATAAAAACTGATCTGAGGAGTAAAAACTGATCTGGGGAATAAAAACTGATCTGAGGAATAAAAACTGATCTGAGGAATAAAAACTAATTTGAAGAGTAAAAACTAATTTAAAGAGTAAAAAACTGATCTGGGGAATAAAAACTGACCTGAGGAATAAAAACTGATCTGAGGAATAAAAACTGATCTGGGGAATAAAAACTGATCTGAGGAATAAAAACTGATCTGGGGAATAAAAACTGATCTGAGGAATAAAAACTGATCTGGGGAATTAAAACTGATCTGAGGAATAAAAACTGATCCCAAGTGGGCTTTGTCCCTGACTTCCTGGGATGTGATGGCTCAGGGATAAGAGGGAGCTCTCTGGGAATCTGTTCTTCCTCTCAGTGCCAGGGAAAAGTTGGGAAAAACCTCTTGGAGAAGGAATTTTTCCTGCCAGTTTACAATTTTATAAAGCATTGGATTAAAAACCACCCTTCCCACCCTGAGCTAACTTGATTTTTGGTGTCTGCCAAAAACAGACCCAGCGGGGGTTTTGTCAGGAATTCCAGGGGGTTTAGTCCAGAATTCCAGGGGTTTCTCAAAGACAAACCTTTCCCAGGAGTTTCCAGTGGAATCTGGTCATTCCAGGCCCTGAATTTTTCAGAGCCTCGAAAACTTCCTGATCTGACTCTTGGCGTGTCCCTCCTGCTTCTGTTCGATCCCACCCCTCAGGATTCCCCGGGAATGGGAATTCTGGGGACTTTTTTGGAAATTTGAACGGGAAATTCAACAGGAAAGTTTACCAGGAAGGTTTAGGAGCTTCATCCTGGAAATTTATTGGATTTATTGGACTCAGTTCATGCGTGTTTTTTGAAGTCCTTATTCCTGTTCCTCTTTGAAACTCCCGTTTTCCTTGGATTTAGGGTGTTTTGCTGCTGGAATTGCTGCTTATTTCCACCCTGTGATAAAATGTCCCTGTTTTATTCCCTTTTCCCAGGCTCTGATATCCGGGGAGCTCGAGATCCTCAAGGATTGGTGCTACGAGGCCGTGAGTGGAGCTCCTGGAAATGTCCTGGGAAGGGGGGAATTCTCCCTTGGAAATCGGTTTATTGGGCTTTTTTTTGGCTTGGGAGCTGGGCCTGGTTATCCTCGAGAAGAGGCTGAGAGGGGATTTATGTCAGAAATATAATAATACATTATATCATAATATAATAGTATATATAATATATATAATAATATAATATATTGTATTATTTGACTCCATGGAAGCAGAGCCTTGCCTGAAAATAGATTTGTTCTGGGCTTCACTCCTCCAAAATGACTGTGCTCCAAAATCCAAAATAATTCTGTTTAGAATCCAAAATAATTAGGCTGTAGAATCCTAAATAATTGGGATTTAGAATCCAAAATGATTGTGATATAGAATCCAAAAGTGTTGTGCTGTAGGATCCAAAATAATTCTGTTTAAAATCCAAAAGTATTGTGATGTAAAATCCAAAATAATTGGGATGGAAATTCCAAAATAATTGGGATGTAAAATCCAAAATAATTGTGTTTAAAATCCAAAATAATTGGGATGTAGAATCCAACATAATTGGGATGTAAAATCCAAAATAACTGGGATGTAAAATCCAAAATAATTGTGTTTAAAATCCAAAATAATTGGGATGTAGAATCCAAAATACTTGGAATGTAGAATCCAAAATAATTGGGATGTAAAATCCAAAATAATTGTGTTTAAAATCCAAAATAATTGAGATGTAGAATCCGAAATAATTGGGCTGTAGAATCCAAAATAATTCTGTTCAGAATCCAAAATCATTGTGATGTAAAATCCAAAACAATTATGATTTAAAATCCAAAACAATTGTGATGGAAAATCCAAAATAATTGGGCTGTAGAATCCAAAATAATTGGATTTTAGGCCCCAAAATAATTGGATTTTAGACCCCAAAATAATTGGATTTTAGGCCCCAAAATAATTGGATTTTAGCCCCAAAATAATTGGATTTTAGGCTTCAAAATATTCCTGCTGTCTGGTTAACCACTGGAATTTCTCGGAGCGAGTCTCCTCCGTGTCCCCACCACCAGAGGGCTGGAAGAGGCAGGATTTTGGAAGGATTCCCCTGGGAAAAGCAGTGGATTCCTTGTGCTTCCCGAGCCCAAAAATCAAACATTTCGGAGCCTTGTAATTAGAAATTAAAGCTCTTAAGTCCAGAATCAGCAGGAAAATAAGAAAGGGGAGGATAATGGGAGAATATTCCCGATATTTGGAGGTAAAGCCTCTTAAGGGAGTCATCCCACAGGATGAGTTTGGGATCGTTAAAGCCTTGGAATAAAACCGGCAGCACAAAATCTGTGGGGGGGTTTTATCCCAAATCCCACTGGTGGAAGGGATAATCCCACTCTGGAAGGGAAAATCTCAGTGCTGGAAGGGAGAATCCCACTGTGGAAGGGAGAATTCCACTCTGGAAGGGAGAATCCCACTGTGGAAGGAAGAATTCCACTCTGGAAGGGAGAATCCCACTGGTGGGAGGGAGAATCCTACTCTGGGAGGGAAAATCTCAGTGCTGGAAGGGTGAATCCCACCGTGGAAGGGGAATCCCACTGCTGGGAGGGAAAATCCCACTCTGGAAGGGAGGATCCCACTCCAGAAGGGAAAATCCCACTGGTGGAAGGGAGAATCCTACTCTGGGAGGGAAAATCTCAGTGCTGGAAGGGCGAATCCCACTGTGGAAGGGGAATCCCACTAGTGGAAGGGAAAATCCTACTGCTGGAATGGAGAATCCCACTCTGGAAGGGAGAATCCCACTGCTGAGAGGGAGAATCCCACTCTGGAAGGGAGAATCCCACTGCTGAGAGGGAGAATCCCACTCTGGAAGGGAGAATCCCACTGCTGGGAGGCAGAATCCCGCTCTGGAAGGGAGAACTCCTGGAATTGTGTGCTCAAACCGGGATGCTTTGGGATTTGCTGCCCTTGGAATTCCCTCTCCGTGGCTCCAATCCTGGAATTCCTATGGGATGTTCCCTCGTGGGGAAGGGTGGAAGGTCCTTGGTGGGGGAGGGAGGTGCTGTTTGATTCCTGCCAGGAATGCTCCGGGAATGCTGGAAGCAGGGAGAGATTCAGCATTCCCGAGGGTTCTGATCCATAAATAACCATCCAGCTGTGCCTCAGAGGAGCCAGGGAATGCTGGGCTGCCTCCAGGGCTGGCTGGGAATTGGGAAAACAACCTGGATCCCAGATTGTTCCTCCCTGTCTGCCCAGGATTGGGAATGCCTTGGTGTCCACACATTCTGGGCAGGGAAAAATGGGATTTAGAAGGGAATTCTGGGGAACCCCGGAGCGCTGGTGCAGCTCTCTGCTACCAGACACCCATCCAGCACCTTCCCAAAATTATTTAGGGCTTTGGGAGATCCCCAAAAACGGGCTGGGAAGCTGCAGGGACACCCGAGCTGCCCCCAAAAGGTGGTGCTTGGAGAGTCCTGATATCCCTGGATATCCCACTGCAATATCCCAGCAGATCCCTCTTCCCTTTGGTTTTTTGCTAGTTCTCCCTGCATGGAAATTCCCCTTTTTTCTTTGGGACAGGACAATTCCAAAGGGGTTTTTTTTGTTGCTTCCTTTTAGACTTACAGCCAGCTGGCTCATCCCATCCAGCAAGCCAAAGCCTTGGGGCTCCAGTTCCATTCCAGGATCCTGGACATCGACAACATCGACGTGAGTGTCCCAGGATTTCACTTTGGGGCCTGGATTAAACTCAGCGGGGGTTTTCTTGGAATTTTTAAGGTTGGAAAACACCTCCAAGGTCATCAAATCCAACCGTTTTTGCTTTAACTGCTGGGTTTTGCCTCTGGGGTTGGGCAGCTCTGCTCCCACAGGGACAGATCCCAGGGCTGGAAGGGAGAATTCCAGTGCTGGGAGGGAATATCCCACTGGTGGAAGGGAGAATCCCACTCTGGAAGGGAGAATCCCACTGCTGGAAGGGAGAATCTCACTCTGGAAGGGAGAATCCCACTGCTGGAAGGGAGAATCTCACTCTGGAAGGGAGCATCCCACTGCTGGAAGGGAGAATCTCACTGGTGGAAGGGAGAATTCCATTGCTGGAAGGGAGAATTCCAATGCTGGAAGGGAGTATTCCACTGCTGGAAGGGAGAATCCCACTCTGGAAGGGAGAATCCCACTGGTGGAATGGGAGAATCCCACTGGTAGAATGGGAGAATCCCACTCTGGAAGGGAGAATTCCAGTACTGGGAGGGAGAATCCCACTCTGGAAGGGAAAATCCCAGTGCTGGAAGGCAGAATCCCACTGTGGAAGGGAGTATTCCACTAGTGGAAGGGAAAATCCCACTCTGGAAGGGAAAATCCCAGTGATGGAAGGCAGAATCCCACTCTGGAAGTGAGTATCCCACTCTGGAAGTGAGTATCCCACTCTGGAAGTGAGTATCCCACTGCTGAGAGGGAAAATCCCACTGCTGAGAGGGAGAATCCCACTCTGGAAGGGAGAATCCCTCTGATGGGAGGGAGAATCCCACTCCGGAAGGGAAAACTCCTGGAATTTTGTGCTCAAGCCCGAGTGTGTGGTTTGTGTCCTTGCTCCCGGGGCACCTTGGCTCGGCTCAGCAGCAGCTGGGTTGGGGAAGGCTAATCCCAAAGGCAAACAGCACATTCCCGGGGGATTCAGGCAGGATCATGGACATTCCTGCCGTGGCTCAAGGTCGGGCAGGGCAGGAATGGCTGGAGAGAGTCCAGGCTGCTGTTCTGGAACGTTCCGGAGGGTTCTGGGCAGGCAGGGAGCGGCTCCCGCAGGGCACTGTTGGGATTTGCTGGTTTTCTGAGGGAATTTTCTAGTTTTCTGATGGAATTTGCTGCTTTTCTGATGGAATTTTCTGCTTTTCTGATGGAATTTTCTGCTTTTCCGATGGAATTTGTTGCTTTTCTGATGGAATTTTCTGCTTTTCCGATGGAATTTGTTGGTTTTCTGATGGAATTTGCTGGTTTCCTGAGGGAATTTGTTTGTTTTCTGAAGGAATTTTCTAGTTTTCTGACGGAATTTTCTGGTTTTCTGAGGGTATTTTCTAGTTTTCTGGGGGAATTTGCTGGTTTTCTGAGGGAATTTTCTAGTTTTCTGAGGGAATTTTCTAGTTTTCTGAGGGAATTTTCTAGTTTTCTGAGGGAATTTTCTGCTTTTCTGATGGAATTTTCTGGTTTTCTGAGGGAATTTTCTGGGTTTCTGAGGGAATTTTCTGTTTTTCTGAGGGGCTTTCCTTATTTTCTGACGGAATTCCCTCTCCTTGCAGTTGGCCATGGGGAAGATGATGGAGCAGGGACCAGTTTTGATCATCACCTTCCAGGCTCAGGTCGTGATGGTGATAAAGAACCACAAAGGAGAGGTGGTGGAAGGAAATCCGGTGAGTGGGGGCTGGGAAAGCCTCATCCTGCTCTTTTTCCCTCTTTTTTTTTCCCTTCCTAAAAGGCACTGGAAAATCCTTTGCCGAACAAGGGGTTGAAGTTGTTTGGGGGGAAATCACTCAATTAAAATCACTCAGTAATAAAATTAATAACGAGGCTGCTGCCTCCCCACACTTCACACAAAATAAAACCCCACACGCCCTTATTCCATGAAATTCCGTGGAATTCCATGGAATTCCGCCATCCAGAAATTGGATTTAACGCCGTGTGTGGTTCCTGGGGAAGCCTCGGGCAGGGAATGATTTGTGGAGCAAATCCCTGGCACCCCTTGGGAGTTGGGGCTGGAGTGATGTCAAGCTGTCAGAACATCCTTGTTCCCAGAATTGATGACAGAGGAGCCTCTGGAATACCTTTATTCCCAGGAGTTTCACTCCAGACAGCTCCAACTTGCCTCGTGCCTGTGCAATATTTAAGTAGCTTAATGATGGCTAATGAGGGAGATGTCTGGAGCTGGCAGTTCCCAGCTCGTTTTCCTTGGGATTAATACAGGTATTTAATAAATATTGGCTTTTTTTTCTTTTTTTTTGCAACCATTGAATTTAGTTTAAAAAAAAAAAAAAAAAGGGGATTA